TTTCATTCAACTATGTTGTGTAATTGTTGAGATATGTGATATTTTTGTGACCACCATTTTTTTTGAATCACACTGTAACATATAGAATCTATTTATTCTATTTATAAAAATAATACAATTCTACATACTTAATAATGATTCAAATTGCAATTATCTATGATTTTTTACCCACACCCCCAATCATTTAAACTAGTAAATGTGACATATTAAGACACCCAAGTGTTTATAAACAATAATTTAGATAAGCCTAATATTAAATTCATAGCATGACTACAAATTACAGTTGAAAGTAATACATTAATAAATAAAAGTTATTCAATCCATACATGTGTTTGCATAGTGACCAAATTGTCTACATTTTCCACATTTACGACCTTTTATGTTAGAATTTTCACCACCTTTGCATATTTTTCAAACAAATTTTTAATCATTTGTGATGCATCAAAATCACCAGGGTTATTTTGTTGACAAATATTATAGAAGCATTGTAAAGGTCGCGTTTATTGATGGTGTTTTGTGGATAATCATTAATTAGCAATGGATATAGTGAAGCCAAATCCATCCTTCCTTTAACTACATATTTTTTGATATCTTTAACATGGAAGAAGTTTCTGAAATTGAGGTACCATTTCACCTACCATTGTGTTCAAAGAATGATTGTGTGCATTTACAAAGGAATTAATTTTTATTAAATTACTTGACTTTGGAAAAGAAAGATTAATATGCCATGGACATTCTGTTTTTTGAGAATTGAAATTATGATGTTTTGTAGGATCTGTTGTAATTTGTGGATTGTGTTTGCTTGATTTTGTACATTCATATGTTTACCTTGTTACAATACCATCTTCAGATTCGCTTTGTCTAATCCTATAACTAAAACCCTCTTGTAATGCAAAATTATCAAAAAATAATTTTGCCTGTTCCCACAAAACGAAAGTAAGTCCTTCTTCCAGATTCAACTTATCAGTAAAATCAAATGAGTGTAAATTTTGTGACATTTTTGTTGTTGAAGGTGAAATTATAAAGAATAAAGTTTATTTTTTTTTATGTCATGTATAAATATGAAAAAAAGTTTTTTTTATGTTAAGTTGCACAAACACATGATCCAGGTATTATACCCACCGGGTATGTTTAGATATTTTCTAAAAATAATTAAACTTTATACATTTAAATAAATATTTCTTTAAAAACAATGCTGTTTAAATTGACTACTGCTTGTGTGATCAATTCAATCATTAACACCAAAGGAACAAAATTAATTACTTCGCAATAAAAGCTATTTGTTTGTTTATTTATTGTTGTTTTTTGATTTTAGTATTAATGCGTGGTTTCTATTCATAATACATTATATTTGTATTTGTTCTATTCGTTTTGTTCGTTTTATTCATTTTATTCATTTTATTAATTAATTATTTGTTTTATTTGTTTTACTCGTTTTATTCGCTTTTATTTGTTTTATTTGTTTTATTTGTTTTATTTGTTTAATTCGTTTTATTTGCTTTTATTTGCTTTATTCGTTTTATTAATTAATTATTTGTTTTATTTGCTTTATTTGCTTTTATTTGCTTTATTTGCTTTTATTCAAATTATTTTTTACTCGAATTATTTGTTTTATTCAAATAAACCTTATTTGAATAGAAAACCCTAACTGCTACTCAAGATTGTGATATTATTTTAGCACAAAAAGCTTTAGAAATAATTTAATTATAATATAAAAGAGTTATTGGTTTATTAAATTAACTAAAAAATAATATTAATTTTAAAAGAATATCTGATAAATATCAGCACTTTCAATATTTACTAGCAGGCTTTTAGACATATGATAAAAATATTATTAACTTATCGGTATGCCAATACATTGATTATTTTTTTAAAGAATAATCAGATTCTGATATTTACTGATACCCCATTACCCAATTTGGCATCATTCAACCAGTAAAGAGAGAACCAACAGATTATATATAAGCAAAGAAAGATGGGTCCCAAAATTAGCACAAATGAATTTTAAATCATGCACAAACATAACAGCTTGATAGCTTGATTGACACAGTGGTGCAGTCTTGAAATTTTTTTATTGTGTATTTTGAATATAATTAAACATACATCTTTAATAAAACAAACATGACTTAGCTATTTAATCATTTCCTTGTATGTGAATGCCTCCATCCATCAAATATTCATGATGGTCATGATTATTATTCAATACATTTGATATCATCATTGACATAACAAACAATTGCATCACCCAAGTAGTAATGATACCAAGGCCATGCAAAAATGAAGCTTTTAATAATGCATGTCTACCCAGATCTCTGGGGTTCACAAAATAAATTATTTTTCATGATTATCAATTGTGGTTCTTTATGAATAATAAATCTGATGTTGATCACAGGTGTCAGATTTAATTAAATTTTCCTGTCACAAACATGTAAATTAGTGCTTTCACACACCCTCATAATTGTGGAATTTTTTCTTACAGGTGAAGGCCATCCACATGCTGGAAGGCTTTGGACAAAACTTTCCCCTATCTTCCCCTCAGAACAGGCTTGGATGTCACCATATGGGCATTGATCATTGATAGCTGTTGCTTGCATGATGATTGATTTGTGTTATTGCCACATTAGCATAAAAGTTGGCATCTGCAACTGGTTGAAAATTCTGCAACTCTGGATTGCTGCTTTGGATTTTCCCTGAATTCAGAGTTTTGAGACCTGGGTTGTTGTTATACATGCAGCCCAAATGGTTTGGTGATTTTGATAGTAGAAAGTAGAAATTAATTACGGCATTCACTATTAAAAACATAAGTGTAACACCCCTTTACTACCTGTGTAGCCCCCTTTATGACATTTTCAAAATACTTTGGGCTGCATGTATAGTTGCTGTAATTTTTATGAAAAGAAAAGTATTAATATTTAACAATTAATTATTTAAATGTTTATTTTGTTGAAAAAA